TCCTTATTCAGACGGCATAATATTTTAATCACAAATAAAAGGTACTTCAGGCGTTTCATGTAGCTAGTTGAAACAAGAATATCTTGTATTAAATTTGCATGCAACAGATTTATCACTGTATATCAAGCCTTAATAAAAAAAAATAGATATAGCACAAATACTTTATCATATAAAGGCCCTAGTGTTCACTTGTCCCACCATATAATGAAGATGTGAACCTTATCTACAGGTTTCAGGTGCTCTGCATTGCAATTTAAGGAATAAAAACATAAGTATGGGTAGGCATAAAGAGTTGTCTATTGTTTCAATCTGTTCAAATCTAATTAATGATACCACACAGAATTCTAATTTACTTCCTTGTAATCTCTCAACTTGACCACAATTGTTGGTGTTTTCTATGTGTTTTAGCCTGCCATATAACAAACAATTACATATCTCTGATGTTATTTTAAAACTTGATCATTGTTTGAGGGTCACAGTACAATGTTTTATAATTGCTGCAGAAGTCTCTGTAATGCAGATATTATTATATATAATATTGGTTATACTGGGATTACAGTCCCATACAGATTAAACCAACTGTGATGTGCTCTTTCTTGTAGTTGGGGCAGCATTTTGTAGGTCTCTCCTTCTCTTGTAGGACCAGCAGGAACATATAAGTCCACTTGGCCCTGCATCTAGTATCTGTCTTTTGGTGATGACCACAGTTTGCTCTCATTCTTCTACCCATGGGTTTGCATCTATTTGTCATGAGAATTAGAGTATAATTGTTATAGTAAGAAAGGATGTGGCTTTGCAGGCAGTTAGTGATTATAGCCCAGTGTAATCTTGTAGTGCTCAGCCAGTAGTTTCCTAAATTTAGAACTAGACTCTGCTTACTAAATATGAACCACTTCAGTATTCAGTGGGTGGAATATATAATCATTTGACTTTAGATGACTGGGTATTGAATAGACAAGCTTCATTCAGATACACTTGAGTTACAAAGAAAAAGACAACTGACAAAAGTCTTACAAAGATACATTTTTTTTTTAACAGAGCCCTCTCTTCCCCATGATGTCAGCTTGTCTTCTGAACTCTAGAAATCAAAATGCCTTTCCCAACCCCATACTGAGTTTACATCCTTCTAACAATATCATCTACTGTTGGACCTTTAAGTCCCTCTCCACAGGAAGCAAGCTACATAGCTATTCAAGATGAATGACAGTGGTGTTCATATTCAATAAAGAATATCAAATTAAACATTCTGGCATCTTAGAAGATTTTCAACCTGAACCCTATGTATTGAATATGGGTACATAACACAAGACACAAAATATAGTAATAGTGCAAAAATCCTTGTAAATACTCTTCAAAAATGGGCATAGGAAGAGTGCACACCATCTACACCACCCACTCCTGTCACATTATGCAACCCTGCAAAAAATGAAACTAGGGTGTGAGGAGTATCAATAAGCATAAGGGCAAGTAAGCTAACAAGCATGATTATCAGCACCAAAACAGCAGAGGCACCACTCACATAATTGGAAATCAAAACAAATTACCTAGAAATTCAAATAAAGTTGGTTTTTAACCTCTCCTATTGGAGCACCAGAAACTATCTAGCAGAGTTGAATGTGTTTGCAATGACATGCTGAAAATTAAATATATAATAATAAACTAATATGCAGACTGTGATAAACCAGTGGTAACAACCATATTAAAATCCCATCAGGCCTGCCAGAGATAGTAGATATATTCTGGTTCTTTTCGGTCTCAGGAGCTCCATCCTACTCCGAGGGTTCAACCACTTGGTTTACTGATGTTCACATATCTCGGAAAACATTTTTTTTCTTTAATTTATATTTTATGCCAGACTGTCCTCACACAGTCAGAATATTTAATGTAAATGAATGAACCCTGACAGTGTCATGTGTACAGGAATGATATGAGCAGACATAATTGTGCATGGCACTTTGAAAGGAATAAGCACACATGTGTTGGTATGACATTTTCTCAGCAGATACCATAGCATGCATGAGCACACTGGAGCATTACAGATCGATGCTTGCACCTGGACCCTGAAGGACTGTGGAGGTAAGTGTGTTTTGTACATCTCATTCCACTGAACAGCTTAACAACATTTAGTTTGGTAAAGTAATGTGGTAAAGACAGAGAAGTGACAATGTCTCTTTATGAGTTGACTTTGAAGCTTTTATATATATATATATATTATGACATATAGATACATATAACCCATAATTATTTTTAAAAGATGCCTGTTTTTGTTTTATATTTTTGCATTTGATTTCTCCTTGTATAAACCATAGGCTACATTACATATTCCTTAATTCTTAAATTCCACTTATTTTGTTGTGTTGTAAATAAACTGTAATGTTTATCATATGTTGGGTAAACAGTGGGTAGTAGTGAATTTACATTAATAATAACCTTCAGAGAATGTTATGAATTATAAAAAGATCTCGTAATCTGCAAAGCGCGAGTTGGTAAAGATATTTTTTTCGGTGACCTATGTTTGTAGCTCTCTTCAGACAAATGAAGAGTGACAAGTACATTACTAAAGCAAACAGAGAATGTCAGCAATACAAAATAAATAGTCATGGGATCAAAACATTAATTTAATATATTCAGAATATCTTAGTGTACGTTATACAAAACAGATATTATATCCAAGCTTGGAGCGGAATAGTGTAATAATGCATAATGACACAATTGACGTGAATCCGTTAATAGTATTCTCATGTAATTATTGGCAAAGATACAATTTAGTAAAAATATAATTTGAAATAATTTGACTTTGTTTTGACAAAATTTGAATAACAACTATGTAACAGGGTTGCAATTATTGTTGCCTATATTTATACAGAGTATATACAGAGTATACATATGCAGCAGCATTGATAAACACCAAGCATAAAGGGTATACAAAACTCATGTTGACAGAGAAAAGCTAAAATATAAGAAGTCTGTACTAGCAAGTTTTATGTGCCAGGGGATGTTTGAGGCACAAGCAATAGAAAAAATAATTTAATTCCATCAGGATGATGCAAACATATGCAATGAGGATTATTTGGGTTTTATATAAGAGTGATGATTTATATGGTGTAATGTAGACTGTGAATGAGGAGGAAATTATGTAAACCTGAAAATGAATTTGTTACAAATGAGAAATTATCTGTATTGAATGTCATGAAAGAGTTACTGGACGGATGTATGGATAGACGGATGGACAGATAGACAAACAAATGGATTGCAGCTTAGACATAATGTCAGCAGGGACTTTGACATTTTGTCAACATGGGATTTTGTGTCTGCACTTATGATTTTTAGTTTTTCCAAAATATTGTATTCATAAAAAACAGATATATGAGCTATGTGACATAGCAGTGTTCCCCAACCCAATCACCAACAATCCGGTATTTATGTAATTCCCTGTATTATTCCAATGGAGATATTGACAAAACGTGGACTGTTGGTGGGCCATGAGGACTGGCTTGTAGAACACTGTGATATAGAATTAAAAAATGTTGAACATAATAACTGTAACCTTATTTTTCATTAAAACACATAAGAATAATAGTCATATATAAGGGTTGCAACAAATATCGGTACCATGTCATGTTCAGGACTAATTTTATGTCTGTGAAAGACCCCCAAGGACCCTTCCTGGTAATATAATTGCCTCGACACATTGAACGTGTTATTTTTGTTTGTTGTCTGTTTTTTTTCACAGCCAGAAATAAACAATTAAGAACTTTTAAACTCTTTTAGCTACTTAGCAGATTAAATAAATGCATGTTGTATCCAATCAGATTAAAGTGACTCTAGATAAAAATATATAAATGAGAGGTGGACATATAATATATATCTAAAAAACTAAGAACACATTTGCAACCTTGTCTGTAAATAGCTGTTGTAAGCTGTCGCCATTAATAACAGCTGGTAGCTTGTAGTTTGGTTTCTACAAATTAGCTCCAGGTTTCCAACATTGTTACTACATTTTTGTAGTCTGCCACTAATAACAGCTGCCGCTACAGATACCAATCACTTTAGTAGCTTGCTGGTAAAGCACAGAAACATACATGCGCACTTCACTCTGTGTGGCGAATAGCAACAGACAGGTAGCAGCAGGCACATAAAACTTAGTGACAGGGTTGAAATAAGACTTTTTGTTTCAATAAGGTGTATATAGATGTAGCTGTCATTACCTCTCTACATCAGTGCATCCAGTCGTGATCACAAGTACAGTGGGACCTCAGTTTACAAACGCCTTGGTTAACATCATTTTCGGTTTACAAATGAAAATCCATTGAAAATAATGCCTTGGTTTACAAAATTTTTTTGCAATTCGAACAAGTTTCCCCAGAATGCATTGCACCTTGAAGGTTTATAGCGCCGCCCCGTGCATGCTGGAGCCTGTGGGTATCCTTTGGCGTCGAGTGTGGAGGTGTTGGAGCGGCTTTTGCATCAAGTTTTGGAGCCATTCTCCAAATTATTTGCAGTTGTTTTGGGACTTTTTGGTGCATTTCTCAAGCTGTGGAAAGGTAGGGAGCTGAGCTTCGTCGTTTGCATGGTTTTTACTGTGTGGTCTGCATTGTGGGTTGGTTTCCATGCCAGCTCATTTAGACTTTTTTCTTACCTCCAAAACGGATTAATTGGTTTTCAATGCATTCCTATGGGACATCATGTTTCCGTTTACAAATTTTTCGCAATAAGAAACGTCCCGAGAATGCATTAAATTCGTAAACCGAGGTCCCACTGTAGTATTTAATGGCTCCCATAGAAAATAATTTATCAGCAGAGGTGTTACCCATTTTTCTATAAGAGGACTATCATTACACTTTTTTAAGTCCCTTATATAGTTCATAATCTTTTGTCCTTGTTTTACCCTCCCATTATATATAAATTTTGCTCTATTTATATGCTGTATTTGTTATGTAACCAATTCTATTTTTCACTTCAAAAAGTGTATTCTAATGTTTGTGGTTGAATTATTAGCTAATTTAACTTCTATTGCTACAGATCTCTGGGAGATACTTGGCACTACTTTTTAGGTAGCACTGAAAGAAATAGCTCTCTCTTGGACGTTATTCCTTTGGAGAAGGAAAGAAAGTGATGGCAGAATAGTAGTAGATCCAAAGTCAGATACCAGTCCTCTTCTGTCTGTTGAAATTGATGGCAAGTATTGGGACACTCAATTTACTGAAAAAGGGATGAGTTGACATACTGCAGCTGAGACAGAGCAAGATATGTAAATGTGGGACAAGTGAGGTTTGAGGTTATATCACTACAAACCAGTGGTTGGCTGAAGGTTATGAAGCACCACTGAAGAAGCTTTGGGTGTGAGGGTAGCAGTACAAGGTACTATGTTACTGCAGTAAGGCAATGACCACCCTGGCGGACTAAAGAAAAAAAAAGATGGATGCAATAGTAAGTCCAGGTTTGGATCAAAAGTTGTGGATCAGGCATCTTGATCCTGTAACAAGGGTATTTGACCATTTTTTTCTATTTAAAAATGATTTAATTTATCTCTGTACAGCTATCCATAGCTATGATTATATCTTTCATAAATATGATCATGTTATGCATACCAGGTTTAAAATAAATTTCATGATAATATTTTTAAAAGTTTTGTAGTTTTATATGTTATGTTTAATGCACTTCCAGAATTATCACAAAATACACTTCTTCCCCATACTAGTTTATAATATCAATGTGCTTTATACTGCCACTCAGGTAGTTACAAACTATCTTAACGAATGCACATGTACTATAACCAGGATTGACAGACACTTATCCTGCCTTCTTGTAAACTGAACAGTACACAGAAAATGTATGTAGAATGTATTATGTAGAATTTTACTGTTACAGTTACAATGTTACAGGGGGGAAATCAATTAAACAAAGCAGTTCCTTTGGAATAATTCCATGAAATTTTCATTAATTATCCTCCAATAGCATAAATAGTACATGAAAGTTTCAAACTGCAAGGAAGCAATTTTTGTGAATCACGCTTTTAAATGTTAAAATAACACAAAAGGGTCAGGAACACAAATGTGATTCATGATCCTATAGTGTAAAAGCACTAGTTAGCCTCATTGGCCCCCCCTTTCCACCATTAAAAATAGTAAGAACTCGCCTTATTTACAGAGCTGAGAAGGTCCACCAGCTCTGACTCTGCTTTCGATCCACCTCTTTCACTGACAACATCAGAATTGATTATATCAGCCAATCACAATGATTTTCCATAGGAAATCATTTAGTTGGCTGAGATCATCAATTCTGATGATCTCAGCCAAGGAGGTGAGCTAAACACCGCTCTGGCCAATCAGCACCTCCTTATAAAGAGATTTTTTTTTAATTGTGAATCTGGAACCATTTAGAATTAAAACACTGTCCAACTATTTTAGCAGCTGGAATAGTGTATAAAGCCATGACTGAGTTGACTAACCCTCTCTCAAAATTAAAAGCTTTGAGAACCTCTTCAAGGACCAGTCATCCTGGTCAAAGGCCTTTACTGCATCTAGGGACAGAATAATTGATGGAATTTTACAAGTTATTATATATTGAATAAGATCTTTAACTTTACTGGTATTCCCACTCGCCTGCCTTCCTCAAATAAACCCTGTCTTGTCCTGATGAATAATAAAGGGGATAACGACTTTCATTCTTTCTGAAATTACAGAAGAATATGTTTTAGTGTCAAGGTTTATTACAGAGATTGGCTGATAATTTGGAACCCTTGTTTTGTCCTTTTCCTGTTTGGGAATGGGGTTTATTGTGGCTTGCAACATTTCAGCTGAAAACTTCCTACTTTCCTTGATTATATTATATGTATTTGTCAAATGGGGGATTATCAATAACTTTAATTTGTTATAAAACTAATTTGAGTATCCATCGGGTTCAGGGGCCTTCTTGGTACGGACCCTGTCTATAGCCCTCTTAATAATAATCTATCTTTAAGACAGCACACACACCAAGTCTTCTAATCACTGCAAAGCAGTTTTGGAGTTATTCAATAATTATTTTCACTCACTAGTGATTAGTTAAATGGTATTTAAATATATTTCTTTAAAGAGCAAAAATAAATAAAACATTAATTTATACTTTCATGAATGCAGCTTTTTCCAAAGAAAAAAACAGGTAAACGAATGCACAATAACAACACATCACTGCCTATCACATCAAGAAGAAGAGCTCATTCTGTTTTCATTAGTTTAACTATGTTATCTACAGGTGTACACTCTGCAGAAAGACATTTTTCATTGTTTCTGGCACTTACTAAAATCTACTTGTAGGCACTCACCTCAAAAGACTTTACCCTTTAATATTAACATCTCTAAAAAGTTTTTTAGTAATGGATTTCAACTTGCCTTAGAAATGATCATGAATTAAAAACAGGAACTGTTTTATTTAGATATATATATATCTAAGCAGCGATATTGATAACACATTTTTGTAAGTAATATAGTGATTTCAAATTGGGAAGAGTGAACAAATAAGAATAGAATAAATGTAAACGTTGAGGACTGTGCATTTCATTGTCAGGATGTTTTCCATCAGTTAATACTTAATAGGTTTCCGAGATGTACTAACTATTATCCACATCATGACACTGAGGAGAAGCTCTGTACTGAAACTTTCATCCACATTGGTAAAGCACCTTTTGCTACAATTTTTGTTGTGAGTAAAAGCCATGTATTTCTCATGCATATTTCATGCAAAAGTCATGAAGACCTCTACCAGGCCACCACGTGCCTAATAAATTGTGCCCCTCATTTTTTTTTGAGTAAGAGGGAAGGGGATAAAGCTTATATTTACTCGTGTACTCCCAAACCATACCTGTAATCTGAAAGTGTAACTACAATGTACCTTGACTACTTAGCACATGAGTGATCCAGGGTTGCACGGATATTTAGTCCCCATGGTTAACAGGGCTGTGTCTATTGGAAATATTCTTAAATACTCTGTTTGATCAATGATATAAAATGTCTCATTTGGATTTAAAGGAACATTCTAAAATTTTAAATAAATGTACGTATTTTTACCACTACATTACTGTGCCCCTATTCAAAACTTATGCCACAAACATACCTCTCAAAAACAGCACTATTTTACACTCTTAGGTAAAAGGAATTATCTATATCCTAAAAACATTTCATTAATATCAAGTGATTTTAGTCCTTACAGAGATTTTAGTGCTTACAGTGTCCCTTTAAAAAACCAAACAAAGAAAACCCCGAAATCTTTTCTTATTATTCAAAACAATAAAAAAAACAACTTTCACCAGTGCCATGAACATGTTAATGTACTGTGGCAGTACCCAAATAGTTACATTAATAATAGCACACAAACAATCTCAGCAACACACAGGTTACATTATCTTTAGCCCTTTCGGATGCAGCTTCTATTCAAAAACACAATCTATCGATGTTGTTTGTTTTGTAAAAAACAAACAGCAAATTGTAAGCATAAATACAATTTTTATTTTATGTCTTTTCTGTAAATATCATGCTTGTCTATACTGTCCCAATTCATAGCAATTCTCTAGAAATATCACCAGGAGTAGTGATTTCAAACACTAGTACTTCAGATGCTTGTTAATTATTTTTCCCACGATGCTCAGCCTTTCCTTAAGCTGACTGTACACCCTGGGAAATGTATTACAACAACATCTTGGAAATCAAGGTTAGACATATATGGCCTAGTGTGACACAGTTTGTACTTTTCAATTTTAAAACAGGCCACTGACATTCTTCTGGAAGTTTACAAGAATATTTTTGTTACATATTCAAAAAAAAAATTTTCAAGCAATTTATGTACGAACAAAGATTTAAAATGTCCTTTGGGGGCACCTGTCTTTCCAAATTCATCAATCCAACTGAATATAATACTAGCATCCCCAGGTAAAAGTCACGATGCGATTCTATCAGACAGTTCCTGTATTTTCCGCAGTGTGGGTGTGCGAGCTAATTTGGTCCTCAGATCCCGTTTCTTCATTAACAGTCTTAACACATTCACTGCAGCATTCCAAACCCTTTCAGGCTTTAACACTTCATCTACTACATGCTGAAACAAATAATGCATGTTTTATGAGTTTGATCTTTTGGATTAGAATATCTATTTACCTGTCAAGTAAAATGTAATGCTTTTCATAGTTAAATCCCAGAAATAATTACATGTTTTTTTTTTTCTCTCACTACGTGTGTGTGCGTATGTGTCTATAGGCATAGCATTCTTTCAGACTCACGGATCACCAGATACGTAAATAAATGGAAATGCCTGCTCTGTACACAAGAATGCAGATGCAAAGTGAGTCATCGAGAATCCATACATTTCAATAAAACTGACAATGTTTTCATTTACATCTCAAGATGACAGTTCCATAATCTGCTTTAAAATATGCATTATTAATATCCCATTTAATGTGCAAGGATTTTGTAATTGCATGTCTAATTTAAGTATAATAGTCCCCGGCAAGCTTAGATGCCATGATATCTGGGAAAATTCACATGCTTTGAATCACTTAAGCAAAATAAAAGTTAAATAATCCATTAGTACTGCTCTTCTATGCCACAAAGCAACATACACACACACACACAAACACGCAATCACACACATACACATACACATGCGCACACACACAGTGCTACATATTAAACTAATATTTCTACTAAGGGCACGTTAGGCTACAGTTTAATGCTTGTTTAGGTCCTCATTGACTTGGCATAGCATAATCATGGTGCAGAAACATTAGACAATATGCACACACTGCCAGAATAGTTGGACAAAAAATATATAATATTAGTCATTATTTAAATGTTTTTCTGAATTGTTAGAGTGCTAATTATATTCATGGAATACTGAATATTGTATTTAACAGCTTTAAACGCTATAAAAACTAGATTACGGTAGCTTGAAAAATTATTTATTTATTTTTTAATATCATATGTAGATATGTATATACATATGTTTTGCCATTTGTATGTGTTGAGGTACCTCTGTTGTCAAACAGTGTATGCACAATGTGCTATTGCTCTTGTACAACTGCTGTGGTGCTATTTTATAATTTTATAAAATATGTTTTTTTAAATAATTCTGCACTTTGCCAGACTATGCATTTTAAGTAATGAACTTTCATCAACCCAGGAAGTATCTCAACTCACTAAACTTATACCAATGCTGAATTTATCACAGAAGAATAGAGGTGGTATATGGGAATTCAAGTACTTGTACATTGTAGAAAGGTAACAGCAAAACTACAGCTGCCACAGGCCCCAAGTAAGGCCATCTGGGAGAATGATATTTTTGGAGCAAAATGGTAATCACAGCAGATTGGTAGAGGTAGAGCA